AATCTAGAATTTATTAGTCGAATAGTAAAATTAGGATCACTCTTGTTGGCTACAGTAACGAAGTTGGTTTTGCAGCTATCAATTAATAAACAATTTAATTAAAAACATATAAGATAAATGAAAAAATAATTATTTAAATAGCGTTTGTTTGACTTGATAGCGACGTTGTCAAGTGATTTTAGATTCATTTATTATTTAAAAGAAAATGTAATTTTTTTTCTGAAATTTATAAAATCTCCACAGATCCTTAATATCACGAGCTATTTCTGTAACTTGTAGTAATTAGTACATATGGAATCTAACTGTAAATAAAGTATTTTATTATTATACCACTGTTATTATTTAACTATGTATATTGTCATATTATGATGACAGATTATGTACTTTTCTCAATATGTGAAATATTGCTTAAATATTGATACAGGGTTAGAGGGTTAGAGGGTGATGATTCAAAACATTTATTCAGGAGGGAGTGGCAAAGAAACCGAGAAGGTCCCAAAGGAGTAACCAATTCCCATTTATACCGGATTTCTTCGGACGACCTACAATTGGTCCAACGTAATGCTAAGAAGATATGTTCCAGGATATTTTCTTTCGGCTAAGCTCTAACCATCCCACAAATTAGATGATAATAAATGGAAGACTGATTGTGCTTGTTAGTGGTATTAACAAAATCTGTTATTTACTCAGTACGAACTTATGATTTATAAATACAAAAAGTATTAACAAAGTGATAAAATTGCGCATAACTTTATCAAGCGTTGTAAATGAAGTAGATAATAATTATATTTTATTTAGATTTAATCTGGAATCGGATATACATTTGAAAGATTTTTAGAGATCCAAATTGTGTTTACTAAATTAATGCATATTCATCAGGTGGTGTGTGAAGAATAATTAGGCTAAAAATGTTATTGAGATTTCATAAGGGTCTAAGCTTGTACGATACGGCCACTGTATTGGTTTTGCAATGTAAAACAGTTCAAACAATCGATTCATGTATAAAGAGGAACGATTACTTCAAGTCCATTGCATTAAGACATTAAAAATAGAACGTTTTTGAAAATAAGTTAAGTATTAAAATCATATAACATATATTAAATGAACAACAGATTCGGAACACAATAAACCAAAACAAAATTTGGTGCGATGTGTGCATCACACAACTTTTACTCACCACCCTGTTCTTAGTAGAAATAAGTATTTTCAGACAAAGGAGAAGTGAAAGTAAAAATTATAGACGCTATATTTATGTGTATTTTATTGTAGTTATTTTCATTTGTATAAGTATATACATATATATTTGTTATATAACCGATATATATATATAAATTAAATAATACCAACAATAGCATTTATGAAAACAGCATATGTATATTTACTTAATATTGTTAGAGTCCGTATTATATTAAGCTCATGTTACGTATGGAAGTCAGTCGAGCGAGCTCGAATGAGCTCGGACGTGCTTTGGTTCCTCAATTTTATATTTAACTATATTTTATATTAGAGATCAACATGAAATGATCAATTGTTTCAAATTAAAAAAGAAATAAATAAACTTAATAAAAATCGTCAGAGCCGTTTTCGAGAAAACCGTAAACAAGTATTAAGTAATTGATATAAAGTGCCACTTCCGGTAAGCAAATTTTGACGAAAAACTTGCTGTAACATCCTTAAATATTTAACATAAAAACCTTGAATACGCAATTTCACTTTCTTACGACTTTTCATTTTTGAGCTAGACTGTTATAACACACACACACACGCGCACACACACACACAGAAAATCTATACTCAGAGGATCTCAAAACGTGTATTTCCGTTGAAAACTAAGATTCGAAAATTTTCACAATCGCAATACTTTCCTTTACTATATATTTCATAAATAGGTAAATAAAATAAAAAATGTAATTGCGAATGATTATCTTTGTTATTCGTTGTTGTAGTTATTGGCAATTGAAGTGTACACTTCTTATCCAATAAAATAAAATTTTCGGTTTCTTTTCGTTTAATATAAGTAACAAAATTTGGCATTTTTACTTTCAGTGGAAAAATCACTATTTTGATGATACAAAATCAAATAAAGCCACTGTATTCATACTCAATGTAACGAGCACTGTATTTTGGTAAAACTAGAATAATATAATCTAGGATCTATCTCCTGAGGTCTATATGCAATATCTTCTTCGGACTTTGAAGTTGAAAGTGATAAAAGAGCCATCGATTCTGAAGGGAAGTCTGTCAGACATCTGAAGTTCTTCGTGTCCCAGCCACCACTCACTGCTTTATAGATATTTCCTCCGAATTGCCGACTTCTTATATGCTTGTTTCAATTCTACGATAGCAGGCGATATCCGGAAATTGAAAAAAAAATGTAGCTGTTGTTAGCTGTTCGTTCACGATCTCTTACACCTTATACCTTATAATTCTTATAAGCAATTATATTTCTATTTATATAGTTTAGGTGTTATAAAATCAGAAGTTATATGCAACTAAATTACAGGATTATATAAAACGATAGAGTGGATATGAATTTTATAGCATTATATGTCTACATATATATCAGAATACTTAATTTTCGATTTAATTATTCAAAAATTTAATTTAAATTAAATTGAAATTTAAATTATTTCAATTTAATTATTTAAAAATTTTCAATTGTTTTTTCTTAAAGAACATGTATATCATTTTTAGTTATTATATTATTACTATTATCACTATTCATATTACTAATTAATCTAATTATTTTTTTATATATTACATAATTAGATTTGGTCAATTTCTCTAACTTTTTTTTCCAAAAATACAGTTAAAGAACATCTATTGAATTAAATAATGAAAGAGATTACAACAGAAACGTACACGAAAAAGATTACCATTTATTAAATCAGTATACCAACACCACATTAAGAGTCGTATCTCAACAATAATGAGTTTTATTAAATTTGAATGAACCAGCCTGTAGAAAAAAAATAATTAACTAATTTATCTGTATATAGGTATGTATGCGTTTTTTCCTTCTTTAATTTCCTTATTTTTAAGTTGTATCATCATATATATCGTATATTCTTTTTGAATATTATTTAGTTGTTATTTTGCTTCTGTATATTTTATATTTTTTGTACAAATAGTGTGAATGTGATCTTATCACAATATAACAATTGTCCAGGTGACCGAATGTTGTAATATTCAATAAATAAATAAAAGAAATTTATCTGAATTTCCATGACAAAGCAGTTAAATTTCATTTCTGATATGTATATATATATATATATATATATATATATATATATATATATCACTATTAAAAATAAAATTTAAAGGATAATTTGGCTTGAGTAAGACAGTAACGAAGACTTGGGAGTGCTTACAGTAATAACAGTACAAAAATGTTCCTCGAATACTGTTTTTTTTTTTTTTTACTTTCCTATCTACACTAGGTAAGGAAAGTATTGTGATCGGGTCAAATTTCCGATTTGCGGTTTTCGACGAATCTTTACGTTTCAGAGCCCCTTGAGTGAAAAACATGTTTTTAGCCATTGGTCTCTCTGTCTGTGCGAAGATTTTCTCGGGAACAAGTGAACTGATTTTGTTGCTTCTGTTTTTAATTTGTTGGGTTTTGACTACTGACGCCTGTGACACGAATTGAGTGTTCCATGCCCAAACAGCTGCTGTGCAATAAATGAATTTTTTTTTTCTATAGACTGTAGCGCGAAAACGGCTCCAACGATTTTGATGAAATTCCACTATTACCTCTACTTTTTAACAGAAATTATTGTTTGACAAAATTAGGCTATGGAAAAAAGTTTTTGATCAGCAGTATTGGAGGGTATTGAAATTTTTACACTGATCTACCTTACGCCGGTTTACATAGCTTAAGTTTATCAAATAAACCGTACTCAAATCTTTTCTTCGGTCAATGTTCAGTTAAAAAAAATCTAATTAAGTTTTTGTTGTTCCTTGATGGATATATGTAAAGACATAAAAACTTTTCTGTAATAGGTAGGAAAGTCGTGTGAGTGAATACGTCAGATTTTTTTATAAGCAATGTTATTTTCTCAAAATCCCAAATAAAACTTTTTTATTTTTGTAATTACTACTTTACAAGATTTCCATAATATTGTATTTATTAAAAAAAAAACTCCGAGCCAGCCATTTTAATTTTCTATTGAAGTATAAAATTGTGATTTTCCTAATTGACCCAAAAGGATTTGCTCAAATTCCCGAGACCGATTAACTGATCTGATCATCAAAAGGACGGAAACATTTTGATGGATTACTGTTAGTGCGAATGGGCTCCCGGTAGCTAAAGGGACTAAATCCTAACAGAGGGATAACAAAGTTGTCCCGTTGGCTGGGTACAACTGTGTATCAAAGGGCCTGAGTACTTCAGTTATCTGGTGGAAGGGGTGTTAACAGCAAAGGGCGGGGAGGTGGGGATGTGCCCCCGCAGGCATCTTGGTATCTTCAGCAACTCCGCCAATCAATGGGCCCTTCATGATCAGGTCGATACCCCGGCAATACTAGACACCTTTATTAGTTTATGAAACTTAATGAAGACCACTATTCCCTAGTTTCATACAATAAGACTAGGATACTGAAAAAGAAGACGAACTTCTCTAAATATTTTAACTGTTTGACTTAATTAATATTTGTGCTTAAGTTTTACATAATAATAAAAATATTTTAAAACGTAAACTATCTGTTTTACCAAGATACCTAATGCATCAAGAGTATTTACACGATATAATTATGTTTTGAAATAAAATAATTTTTAGGCATTTTTTTATTCACTATTAGCGACGATTTTGTTCTAATAAAATTGTAATCCAAAGACCATACATTAGAAAAAATAAATAAATAGGGCATGTATGTGAGTCTGATACGTGACGGAAACACTTTAATGCTAAGACGTGTTATACCGATAATGTCACACCTCTTCACTCAAGAAAGTAAATATCTGCAATGATTTACATTTAATAGTAACTGCAAAAACTTACCAATAAAGCTTCAATTTCTTTTTTGGTGGCTGTTGCATGGTAAGACAAAACCTGGAAAAGATATTTTTTAATTAAATTATAAAACATATATACATTTCATTACATTATATATTATATATACATTAATTCTCAGCTATCATGAATGAATGCTCCTGTCATTAAAGAAATAAAGGTTTAGTTCCAACTTAATGAAAAAGGTTGTCTTTGGTCTGGAGTAATTAGCGGGTTAGTTCCAGGAGCTATTCACAGAGAAATTCAAACCACTAAGAGTTTGTCAATTGAAATAAAAGTTCTGGTTTGTTTTATCATCTACTTTTCTACCGATTTCAGAATAATTAAAAAAAAATAAAAAAATTATCAATAAAAATAAAAGTTGTATTTATTAAATACCTATTAGCGGCAGTAAAGTGATAAAATCCAATATGGTGTATCATTTCTAATACTGGTTTGATTTCGATGATTTTTTTTTTTTTTTTTTTTGCACTTTATATTAATACTGAAATTAGAAGTATACTGCCTTATGTATTATTCTGAGAACAGAAAACATCATCACAACGGATTGGTTCCTTGGTTTGTTGTTTATTGAAAATAATACTAATGTGTATATATTTTTTACTCTGCAATGTCTGCAAGGTTAATTAGACTTACAATTAAGAACATAAAAACACTTTTATATTGAAAAAATAATTATTTCAACGAAAAATTTGGTTTATTAGAAGACTTTTTCACGCCACTGTAAGAATATATTATTAGTAAATCGTATTTATTAGTTTGACGAAATTCATAGAACAAGACTTCATTAGAAAATATTTTCTCAATAAAGATATGTATGGGTTATTTTTTTTTCTAAAATTATTAAAGCACTAGTAACTCCTGAAAAAAATAGAACTTTATTCAAATTAAAGATTGTTATTAGAATACAAATACAATCAGTGCGTCAGATGAGGAAGCTTGTTTCAAAACCTCAACATCAAACAGGATGAAATTTCACTATTCCTCAAGAAGAAGCAATTTTGTCTGTTTACTTGAAACAAAGTTGCGGTATTAACCACACCAGAGAGTAATATAACTTTCTTCAACGCGTATCGACCAACTTGTCATTAACTGTTTCTTAAGACCTCAGGATAATCTCTCCAGAAGAGCAGATCCGTAAAAGTTAAGCAAATACAATTTTTTTTATTGAATTTACATACATGCTTCATAGTTTAAGAGTATTTAGACTTATAAGTCTATTGTTTTTAATATATTGATAAAAACATAATTGATATTATATGCAAATAGTTACTATATGTATTTATTTGGAATCTGGATAAGAAAAGCCAATAACGAACTGCTTCCAGAAACTGGATAATCAATACCCCATGATATGAAGGCACGGAGGTTAAGATGGGTGGGACATGTAGATCGTAGCAATCCATCTGGAAGCCTCTACGTTACAATGAATGCCTCAATAGAGGCAAAATACCACGTGGAAGATCAAAAAGCAGATGGGTAGATAGAATACTAAAGATGCATAAAGCTGCGTGCAGATTAATGGAAAGAAATAGCCCAAGAGAGGCTGAAATGAAATAAGCTTATTTAGGCAGCACAAGATCTGCATTGTCTGTAATGCCAACAGAAAAAAAAAATGGAGTATATATTGATATGTTTCATGTTTGTTTTAAAATGAGTAATACAAAAAAAGGGAATGATAAAAACTTAACACAATGCTCTGAGCCCGAATTTCGCCCATTATCAATTTCTTATGCATCATAACTGATAGAACCAGTTGAGTCTGTAATCAAAGTTGTTCCTTATATTCCGTTATACTTATATAAATAATTATGAACTGTTTCAATTCTATAACTTTTCACCCAGCGCCTTTTTTGATATTCACCTCAAAAAATCACCGAGAACGCCATTTGTCTAATTCATATCTAAAAAAGACAATGTTTTAAAGAATTCTTAGCAGTATGGTAGGAGTGTACAATAAAAGAAAATCAAAGCCTAATTTTCTTTTTATCAGTAAACTTTCATTGCACTAAATATTTCGTATCACGCTAATATTTTATTTAATATTTTTAAATAAGGAGATAGGAGTCCATTTTTAAAAAAGGAGATAGGAAGCAATGCCAGAATTATCGCGGCATCTGTGTACAGAGCTCAGTCAGTAGGATTGTTGGGAGACTTGTTCGGGATAAGGTGGAAGGAGAGTACACCACACCGGTGGAACAGACTGGTTTCACTGCCGAGAGATCCTGTATGGACAATATTTTTGTACTCCGGCAGCTCATTGAGAAATGCAGGGCGAAGAATAGGGAGCTTCATTTAGCCTTCATTGATCTGGAGCAGGCATATAACAGTGTCCCTAGGGAAAGAATATGGCCAGCACGGAGAAGAGCTGGTATTAATGAATCCACGGTACAAGCAATTCAACACTTGTATAGAAGCGATCTGTTCAGAGTGAAGATTGGGAACCGCCTCTAGGGACCGTTTTCTGGAACCAAAGGGCTGAAGCAGGGGTGTTGTATGTCTCCAAGCATTTTCAAGATATACTTGGATGAGGTAGTGAAGCAATGGATGAGACGAAGTTGAGACTACGGAGTGTACTTTGACGACGACGAGCTCCTTACCCTGTTCTTCGCAGATGATCAAGTAGTGATGGCCCGGAAGAAAGTTTTCCTGGAGATGGTGGTTGTACAATCAAAGAAAGCTTATGAAGAGGCAGATCTCAGGATTAACATTCAAAAGACTAAGTATATGGCACTGGGAGATGAGGAAGACGTCCTACGCATAGGTGAACAGGTATGTAGAAAAGTAAAGGCATTTAAATACCTCGGGTCCTATCTGGACGATGTTGGAACGTCTGAAGTGGATGTCCGAAACAAGGTAGAGATGATAAGAAAAGCTACTAGAATGCTGCATCCTGTTCTCTGGAACGACACTATTTCAAACGCGAACAAGCGGCGTATCTTCACGGCTATTGTCGAGTCCATATTAACCTACGGATGTGAGGCATGGTCGATGAACGCTGGCTTGTATGCAAAAATTCGGACTGTAGAAATGGATTTCTGGAGAAGGTGTCTACAGTTAACGAGGCTGGACAGATTCCGAAATGAAGTGGTGAGACAGAGAATAGGTGTAGAGGAGACCGTCTCTGAGAGGATCGAGAAACGGCGATTGAGGTGGTATGGGAGAATGTCGGAAGAGCATTGGCCTAACAGAGTCCTGGACTGGCAGCCACCCGGAAAGCGTAGGCGAGGACGACCGAGAACCACATGGATGGAAGGAGTCCGAGAAGAGATGGCCGGCCGAGGTCTACAGGAGGGTGACTGGGAGGATAGAGATGTGTGGAGCTCTGCTCTGACCTGAAGAGGTATCCTACGTTGAAACACCGGTAAGAAGTAAGTAAGTATTTAATATTTTTTTACCACTTTCCTCACTTCTCAGGTGCTATAAGATAAAATTGTTCAATGTGACATCATTTTATTTTGGTTTGATTTATTTACCAGATTTACCAGAGATCCAGACATTTTACAAAATATCTTTTCTATACGAAATGTAAAAATTAAATGGCCGAGTATAAAACCGTGTGGGGCTTAAATAATATATTAACAATAACTATGAAAAATAACGACTCCAAAAAATAAAGAAATTTCTGACAGAATTTCTGACAGAACACGAACATTCTAAGAATTACTTTGAATGATTTCATCTGACAATCACAGATTGATGTAACTATGACGGACAAACTCCATAAACATTCAAACGCATATTCTACGACTGCATTTTATAGGAGCACGCAAGATAAAAATCTGTGTAACGCAAGGACGAACATGGCCACTTTCAGAGGATAAAATATTATCAAAATATAAAATTAAGCTGTTAAGCTTTATTTCCAAGACAAAGCTAAAATTAAATCCAAACCCGAATCATAGAACTGACTGAAGTTATATATTTTATTAAATATAGAAGCATCCTTCCTATCATTCATAACTCATCAGGATGTTATTAAAATTCGATGTTACTATATCCGTTGGAAAGCTGATTTATTGCTTTTCAAAGCCGTATGAATGGTTTTTTTTTTATTTAATGCCTACATAAGTAACAAATAAACACAAATTCTTATAAGTTTTTATCTCCATTTGAAATTTGCTTACGATGGTCCAGATGATGAGTGTACGATCTTGTGTGTGTGGCCCTAAATTCCCGCTAAATTACTTGTAGATAGCTAAAGCCATATTGAAGGTATACGACGATGATGATTTAAAAAAAAATCATGTGAGGGACCTAAACATTAAGTCTGGAAACATAGCCGAGCTTCTGAAATTGGTTTTTTACGCCATAGTGTGACACAGTTAGGGCCATAGCAATCTCTTGCACTGATTGGGTGGAATTTTGATCAATGACGGCTTTAATATTGCTCGTTTCAATTTCATAGACCAGACCATTGAGCATTATTGATTATTTGAGCTATTTTCAACAAGATTAAATAGATATAGCTACTGATATATTACGAAGAGGATGAAAAATCCACTTTAGGGATTATTTCATCAAATAAGAAGTATATCATAGTATTATAAAAATAAATAGAAAAACCGAACAGACTTATTCGCCAATCCAATATATATACCAGGATTAATTATTTTCTAATACAAGTATTGTTAGCTTTAGTTCTGCTTTTTTGTATGTTTTTTATTTTTCTTATTTTCGTAGTCTTAATATTAATGCCCTTCAATGTGGCAGAATATATTAATATTTAATGAAAACAAAAATGTATGCAGTTTTCTTTAATTATTATTAAAAAAAAATCATAGCATAAATAAAATGTATTCATTACATTCATGCATATAATATGTGAATTTGCATGCTGTATGTATAGTTTTACAAATAAACTTCTGCAGAGGGTTACTATAAAAGAAAAAAAAAAAAATATATATATATACAGGATGTCACACGGCACTATTTTAGGTGTATGTTCACTAAAACGAAATAAACAAAAAAGTTCATATCTCAAACTCAATTATTAAACGGATATCAAAGGTTAAACATTTATTATTTATTTACTATATACTTTACTGACTGTACAATTAACGTGTTTAATACCAAATAACAGGTTTTAGTCACCTGATAAACAAATTTGCGATAAGCAATGACCGTAATTGCTCATTTGTTTGTCTAGTTCTGTGTGTTTTAGAGTGAGTGAATACGGTGACACAGTTCAATTTATGATTATCATGGGAGACACCAGAAATTTATTCACTTTCGTAGAGCGAACAGACATGCTTTTAACTTATGACGAAGTACATTGAAACGGTGCTGCTGCTGTTCGAAGATATCGTGAAAAATTTCCTAACCGATGAATACGAAATCGTAAAACGTTTGAGGTCATTGAAAGATGCCTTATGAATAATGGCACGCAAAAAGCTAAACGAGTAAAGGCCGTTCGACAAAGATTTCGATGAACTGCAAACGTTGAAGAATAAATACTAGATGCTGTTCAGTCTCCTACTATTAGTACCAGGATTGTCGATGTTTCCTCAACCAACGAATGGCGAACTTTAAGCGAACAACAATCGTATCCATTTCGTATATATCTTTCTTTAAATATCTGGTGTGGTCTGCTAAGCGACAACATGATCCTTCTATTTACCATCTAGGCTGTCAAGTACATGCATTCTTTGTAAAATTATTTTCATGAACTCCAAGAAGATATTCAGCTATGCATTAGGCAAAGGCTGTGCTTTATGTATGACGGTACTTCAGCACTATTTTTCTAATAGTGACGCTGGTTTCCTAATATGATGATTTTGACGGGATAGGTTTATTTTTCAGTGGTGGACGATGACCCAAATCGGGCGGTCACCCATTCAAGTACTGACTACGCTCGAAGTTGTTTAACCGGCCAATATAAATATACATATATCGGGGGCTGGAGTAGCCTTGCGGGCTAAGGCGCTTGCAAAAGTTAAGCAACATCGAGTGTTAGCTAGTGTGGTGGCTAGCACTTGGATGGGTGACCGTCCACAAAGGAAAGCGACGCTGCCTCAGATTCCTTCCTCCTCCACTCGGGTCAGCCTACTCCAGTAGGCTACGCCCGGTCGGGGTTGCACCCAGGCCGGTTGCTCTCACACCGTCCGGGCGTAGGATTGATGACCCTACCCTGTACTTTAAATCCTGGAATCGGCATGTGGTCCAAGAGACTACACTCGCGGTCAAAGATCTTCATGGTCTCTAGCGGCAATCGAATATATATATATATATATATATATATATATATATATATATATATATATATATATATATATATATATATATATATATATATTTTTACGCGTATATATGGAAAGATTTTAATTTTTATAATACCGCAATCTATATAATTACATACAAATACTGGAACTATCATTTACGAAAATCACATAAGAACTCATCGGAGCAGTACAAATTTATCGGAGGCAGCACGCTTTCCACCAATAATATAGTATATAAATTTTATTTAATATTGAATTTTTTATATTTTAATAATTTAATGAACAGTTACGGAACAATGTATGTGACTAGCACTAACAAATATAGAGATATATTATAAATCCACTTTCCTTGTGATTTTTAAGACATAATATATCAAACATTTCATCAAGAATGATGTAAAAGTACATATTGTTAAGTATAAGGATCTTCCTTCAGAAATTTCACTGTTCATCGCGCTGTGTCAACGATATTTTTTATGGCAATATTTGTTTTGTTGGTTTATTTCTCCAATAAATATAATAACTCGAATAAGTATTGTCTGAACTTCGACCATGCATATTCGATAGTTTTGTATATCCAAATGATTGCTTTCTTTTAAAACTAAATTGTCATTGAAGTTCTAATTTTCATTTTCATTAATCAGTATCATGTCATATTAATTAGACTCTATAGTAACTAGTCTATTTTCAGTAATACAGTCGTAAATTATATCACCTAAAACAAAATTTAAAAAAAAAAGAAATACATATATAATATATATATATATATATATACATAGACACAAACATATATATTTTTCTTTTTTTATCAGACCTGATTAACTGATTAATCATTAAACACTCTTCCCTGTTTATTTGTCCTCAGCTGATTGCATGTCCTTAATATTTTTAAATAATGATCGGTTAGTTATAAAAAGCTGATCATCCAAAGAGTCGACGTAACAATTAATGCCTCGCCAGTTGGTAATTAAACATTATAATATAAAATATTGTAATATGGAACAAATAAACTTGATTTTAAACAAATGTGCAAAATAAAAAAATAAAAATATTTACCTCAATTGTAACTTTCTGTCTCGCCATTGCTTTTTCCACTTCGCTGTACATGATTGTGTTGTGTATCCCCAGGCCACAAAAAATTGTGAATGCCTGAAAACAAAATAAATTGTTAACACTATACTTCCGATTTAAAAATCACATTATAAAAAAGTATATTGATTAATTCTTTATTTCGTATAAAAGTTAATAAGGATGATCAATAATAAAATAATAGTAATATTGATTATCATTGTATATATAGTTAAAGACAAAACTGTTTAGTACCTTCTTCTTGTGTCAACCGATTTTCTTTTTTTTTTTTTGTTTAGTAGCAAGTGAAGAGTTTTATGTTATTAATAATTATTAAATAATTAATTAATTAATTAATAATTATAGTATTATGTTACCAATAAGACTATTTAAGAGACAGTTCATATAAATCAAAATATTAATGTTCATTTATTTTAAACTACTAATCTCCGAATCTTTTTCACAGATAGCTTTGAAATTTCAGTACTACGATTGCACCGAATTCTGGATTATTTTTATATACAATTAATTAATTGTATCCGGCAGGCCTTTTCATTTTCGAATAGTGGCCGAAAACCTATATCGCTATAGATTCTAACGCCAAAATGGCTAAAACCATTTTAATTTATTTGTATAACATACTTCCCCGAAAAAAGTTGAAGAAAAAGTAGCATTGGGTTCAAAATTTTATTTGCGACTAACTTAAAAAGTACACAAATTTTATATTTAAGTAAATGCAAAACTTTATATTCTCAGATATAAAATGGACGAATGTATAAGAGTAGGAAAAAAAAATTGTACGCATGCTAATTCATTTGTGTTTTCCTCAAATTTCCAATAAACATTATGGTCGAATATGTACCAATCGGCGAACAATACTTTAAATAAATGATTAAATAATGATATAAAACTATATATAATATGTATTATCTCATCTTTACATCCTTAATATTAATTTTAAATTGATTATTAATATTGAAGTATTAATTTTATTACTTCTAAAAGGAATAAAATTTAATCTTTGATTTTATGGTATGTAGATTTTCATCACTAATTACAAAGAAAAATAGTGATATCTCGCGGATTTTCCAACCTTTTGAAGCACCAAAATGTTTCTTGTTCTATTTAATAAAATAAAGCCCTTTGGCCAATTAAAAGCTTTTCCCACTGTGGTGTTCCACTCAGTTTCAAAGGGTTTCTAATGGATTTAAATTTACATGGTTGAAATATCACAAGACAGCCACTTTCTAAGTCTTATTTAAAAAGATCAATTAATCATTAAATAATCAAGAAGACAATGATTCAATATCAAATTAAAGAATATCGTTTAAGCCTTTTTTTTCGGTGGTATGTTCAAAATGATCAAATAAAGCCACGATCATATACTTTAATACATAATAATCAGCTTATACTGATCCCGTGCATATAATGTAAAATAAATTTATAATATTGGATTTGGCAATAAATTATTATATCTTATTTATTATTTCTGAAAGCTGTTTTTTTGTCAGTACGCTACACATTTTGAAGATATTGTTCTCCTTCACGAGTGAAAAATAGTTCTATCCCTCCGGAATTTCATGGAAAAAAAGTTATGAAGGAAAAGAAACTTTATTTGCTAATAACTCAAAAAGTATGAAAAAATGATCTTTTCTCGATAGTAAGCATGATTATTATGTGTATAACATACCGCCCCGAAAAGAGGTTGAAGAAAAAGTAAGATTACTAAATTACCTTAAAAAAAAATCCGTAAAAATTGAACAATTATTTACAAAGATACAGTCCATTAATTATTTCATATTTAATAATGTCTTCATGTTTAAAGATATTGCGTTTATTATTCTACTAAACATTTTTTCTTGGCTGATATATTAACTTTATTATTTCTTAAAGGAATTTGTCTGTTTTTACATTTTATATTTTTAATAATTTAGATATTCCCCGATTGTGAATTTTTTTGGCGTCATTTCCTTTATTATCTTTTCAGTCATTGTTTAAAAATATGCCATAACAAAGCAATTTGTATTTAGGTCTACTATGTTAAAAAGAAAATTGCAATCGACCAAGGAAAAACAATTGATTCATCCTTCAGATAATACATGCGAATTATTCGCACGGTTAGTTATATCTAATTCTTCCCTATTCAAAAACGAAATGATTATGTAGCAATTACTTTTATGAGATCAGGTGAGAGAATAACTGGTAAACTGATAACGAAATGTGTAAATTTACATCGAATATTAGAATCATGAATTATTATTACTGTATAATTGCAAAAGAGTCAATAATTATTTTTTATGAGATATGACTGAAATGAAACCATGAAAAAATATATAAATAGTATTGAAGGCAAGAGAAGACTGTATCAATTTCAGATGAAATAAAAAGATATAATTTCTATTATTTTACCAAGAATACCTCTATTATTTTGATTGTCCGTACATATGTCAGAGTTCTGGGACATGTACTGAAGAGCCTTAATGACCGTCTATTGTTCAGGTTCGCAACTGAGAGAATATCACTCTTTATCCAACCTGACCCAGTTATGTCCATCCGATGTGACGGTGAATTTAAAATTTGTCCAAACTGAACCATGAAAAAATTTATAAAATATGTGGCTGGAAGATGAAAACTTGATGAAATAAAAAACATCGGAAGAATATTATTTAAAAAAAAAAAAAGAACTGAATATTGTAAACTTGGACTCCCGTCTCCTTTTATTCCGATGATTAGCATTTTTTTTATCTTTTGTTAGCATTTACATTTTGTTTATAATTTACACAATTGTTTATTTATTTTGTATTTTCATTTTTCGTTTACATTTGTTATGTTTATACTTTTTTTCCCCATGTATTAATGCTTTTATAGAAATTGATAATTTATTACAAAGTAATAAACTTATTTGTAGCTCCTGAACATTTATAAATAGCCTCCCATTACTTCACATGTTTGATTTTTATCAGTTTGAGGCTTGCGAATTATTACTCACTCCAGATATTATTCAGCGGTATATTTTTTTATCAAAGAAACCGTAATACATAATTAGTGCGAAGATTGCTGTTCACGCTGTATATTTTTTTATAGAGTTTTTTGATGCACAAAATAAATGTTTGCGTGTTTATAAAATTTCAAATGTACTGTTTCTCAAAATAACTGATTCAATTGTTTTAATGTGATAAAAATTAATATTGATCAATATTTCAAACAACTTTTACCCTTATTTTCTTTTTATCTGAATTATATATATGAGCCGTTTCTTTTGAAAGGGCCCTACCTCCATTTATCTTCGAATCGAGATATTTAAGGGTTTGCGATTCAATGAATTTAAAAATATACGTATAGGATACTAATGAGTCATACTGCTTAAGTGTATCTAATGGTGCTAAATTTGTTTATAAAATAGTAACAATTATTAAGTGAATAATGTGAGTTTTCTCAACAAGAATGGAGTTAGGCCACTTTCAAAATTAACAACCAGATTCATTATAAATTTGAAGGTACCCAAGTCCATTCAACATAATTTAAGATGCTTCAAATTGAAAAACACAATACTCAATTTATTTTACATATCTTTAAAACACTTCGGAAACACAATTTATGCGATTCAAAACATTTTTCAATTATAGAACATACAAAATTACAAACATTTTATTAACAAAAAGTTTACTATTCATCTACATTTTGCGCGTGTGAAAGGGATTTGAAGTAGCCATGATGTTCCGGTGGTGTATATCGCAATAAGTCAATCATGTCGTTAAATTTTGTTGTTGTAATTTGTCTGATATTTTTATAGAGTGGTATCAATACAATATTTTCGCATATTCTTGGTCTACTCCGAAGTGGTAATAAATTCAGAACTTTAAAATTTTCATTCTCATTCATTGTTGTCTTATAGAAAATTTTATACGGTTCATTTCTGATAAAACGCATCCAAATTATTTGTAACCAGTTTACTGATTCTCCATCATAATTCATTATCCTTTTAAAAATTGAGTCTTCTAATAATTTTGTTGATTCAAAATTTTTTTGTCTCATTTCATTTACAATAAAATTTTCATTTCCAACATTATCAATAGTAAATATCTTGATGTAAGTATAAAATAAATGGAGTTAGGCCACTTTCAAACTACACGGTTCAGTTATTGAACTAATTCTGAAAACTTATGTGTCAAAAATTTATCGTATTTGCTCGGAATATAAGCAACCTGAAATGTTTTACTGATATATAGTATGGCGTTGTACATGTACCAATGGTAACTTGCAAAAAATTGAAAAATGGAGTTAGGCCACTTTCAAAACAAACGGCTCATATATTCCTCATGTTCAAAACTTATATTTTTCTTATCGTCTACTATTTTTTTTAATATTAGATTATTTAAAACTACTAATGGATAAAGATAAATATGTATTCTCGTTTTGTAATAGAAAATTGTTGGTAATGTTTTTCATTATGAATTTTCAATAATCAAAGATGTGAACTTTTCTCATATCATTTATCAATATTTTATTTTAACTACATCTTAATTAAATTCTAAATATGTGTTGGCGTCTTCATAAATAACGAATAAATTTCAGAAAATTAGACATATTTAGTTAATTAGTTTCCGAAATAAAATATACACTTTCGTATATCTGCAGCTTCGTATAAAATTTTTGATTCAACTGATTATTTCTTTTTATGTCTTTTCTTTTAAGTAATTCCAATGTATTCCGTGGTACAGACCCCTTACTAAATAGTTTTATCTCATCATAACCTACAACTATTTTATTTACGGTAACTCTTGGAATTGGGGCGTTTTCAATCAGGAGGGGGGCAAACGTTGGCTATTTAACTAGGTAATAAAAACTCGTAAATAGACATTTGCTTTCTACTTGGATCGTAAGATAATTTGATCAAAAAGTCATAAAATGTGGCCTTCAAAAATATTGAGCCGTTTGGCGTTTACTTTACTACTACACCCCCAAATTTTCAAAATAAGGAGGTTATAAATGACAAACGACCTATATTTTTGTAGGCCACCATTTTATCGATTTTGTGATCCATTTATATTACGATCCAAGTAGAAAGCAAATGGATATTTACTACCTTTGGAGTTTTTAGTACCTAATTAAATAGACAATGTTTGCTCCCCTCCAGATTGAAAACGCCCCAAATCTAAGAGTTTTCGTAAATAAAATAGCTGTAGGTTACGATGAGATGAATTTATTTACGTAGTTTCAGGCGGATGTTAATAATTCGATTAAAAGGGGTCTGTACGACGGACTAATGACTTATGTAGACCAAAATATCCAAACCTTCTTGGCCTAAGAGCCAAACTGATTCTTTTTATCGATCCCAACAGCCTAGATCTAACAATAACAATCAATTACGGCAACTGATCATATCAACATATTAATTTCTTTCGAAGCTCATTAAAAATACTTTTTGATAGTGTATACTTTTATTTCTTATATCAATTTTTATTAGAAATATAAACCAGTATGTACCCTCTTTTCACGAACAGCAATCTCTCTAACCGGAACCTACAACTCGCCTCTATGTTCATTCTTTACTGCATTGCGTCTCAACTTCTTTCTTCAAGAGGACTTTATGTAAAAAGAAACGTTTAACTTAAACCCGTACCCGCCCACACACGTACATTGTACATTTTAATTAATTAATTTTAAATCAAATAAGCTGATTCAAACTGGAATTTTGGGATTCGAAAGACGAATGTTCTTGGACTTTATCAAAACAGAATAACTTACCTCAAACAATTGTTCATCATTCTCGTCAAATGAATGTCCATTTGTCTTATTAATGATCGAAGCAACACCTGAAACAAAATATAATAATTAATATTAACACGATTTCATTAAGAAAAAAATAAATTTTGGTATTGCCTTATTTTTTTTATTATTTATTTATTCAGAAATATAACAATCTGTCACACGGATAATAATCATAGTGATATATGATCACATTCACACCATATATAAAGAATATATACAATCAAAAAAAGCAAAATTCCAACGAAATAATAATAAAAAAGTATATACGATAAAAAATAAAATAACTTGAAGATAAGTAAACTGAAAAGATTAAAACACCTTATTAAGAATAATATTGAAATACGTTTTTTACATTTTTCCTTAACAAGTACAATATTTTAAGAAGTTACCAAAAACATGTATAATTATCTCTCGAACAAATCATCTTATCAAGTGACAAGAAGTAAGATATATTTAAAGAGGGACATGCTACCAAATTTATTTATCACCGATATTTTTGTACTAGAGCAACTCATAGATGTTATATATTCATAACAGTAGTTGTTAAGGGAACACATCAAACTTACCATTTAAATTTAATTTAAATTATATCAAGTAAAAAACAACACAGCTGTTGTTTGTGCCAAGCTGAGCATACTGCATATATACCTCAGATGTTATGGAGCAATCCGCCATGACTGAAGTGTAGACGCTCACGTAGCGTGAGAGATTCACGAGACTGGGCAGTTAGAAAATTCGTATTTCCACTGCTTTGCTGAACATGGAGTAAAAAACTACAGCGGCCGGCAAGGGGTCAAGAAAGGAAAAGAGAGAAGATGAACAAGAAGACTGGCAAATAGAAGAAAAGAAAAAATGCAAGTATCCCAACCCACTTATACTTAAACTATGTATAAAACTTAAAATTATATAATAAAACAATTAATTTCACATCTTAACATTTTTAGTTCACGCAATTCTTTTATTCACAGTCCACATCAATAAATTATTACCAGCTATTACAGCAGAATGATTATGTCAATATCCCTGACAGTCGTGAAATTGGCATAATAAATTAAACTGTAGTCATATACAGTGGAACCTCTGGATACCGGACAGACACACACACACACAGGCGATTTTGTAGTACTTGATTACTTGGACTCAGGGGACCTCAAAACGTATATTTTCGTTTAAAACTGAGATCGAAAATTTTAACGATCGCAATACTTTCCTTTACTATATATTTCATATAAAAATAAGTGAAAGTAAAAATGACTGTTTCGTTCGTTTATATCTGCAAAGCTTGAAGTATATAATTATAAATGAGATTAAATCCAGAAATATCTGAATATATGGCGAATAAATGAGTTGATATCCAGATATTCGAAAAATAGAATAAGTCATCTTTCGGGTCACATTTGTTTAATATAAAAATAAAATAAATCTTCCCTTAATCTTCATTAAATCTTATTTAATATAATCTGATAGTTCGTATTGTCCGAAGCATTCAAGTGGGCAGATTGAAATTTATATCAAGCTTAAGCCATGTAAGCTAACATGCAGGAGGACCCATGTCCCCCCTCTTCCCCCTTCAAGGTCGATGGTGCATGAACTCTCTCCCCCCCTTCTCCGAAAGTATTTTATTGCTCTCCTCTTTTTAATAACAATGCAAATTAAAGTATAATTAAAGAAATTATAGGTCATATACAATTTATTTTCAGTGGTCTGTTCTATGCTTTCCTAATGTCCCCTGATTTGAAACTTTTCATTTAGAAAATTAATGTGCTTCTCTCTAAAATTCAAAACGTCAAAACGTGCAAACCTCAAAAATTTGTATAGCACAACTTGCGCCATGAAACCCCCTTCTTTGCACCCCTACCACCATGATCTAGGCAATCGTACGTCTTGTCCAACACTATTATGAACCTTGAAAGGTATAGTAATAACGAACACTAAAGGTTGAAAGGCATTTTTTTTTAAATTTTAATTTAAACTTAACGTTTTCTACGTTCGATCTAAAGGATCGAAAAGCCAGAGTTATCTCAGGTAATAACAGAAGAAGGGCAAGGGAATTCGAAAAGCGGGGTACCTCAGGAAGGAGTACTTTTCTCACTGCTTTTCCTAATATTTATAAATGATATTATTCAAGACTTACCAAATAACGTCAAAGCGTCCCTGTTCGCAGAAGATATCTCCCTTTGGACGATCATCTTCCATTTTCACAGCAAAGAACCGAATACAAATGGCTCTTGACAATCTCTGTCAGTGGACCGAAAAATGGGCCATAATTATTAATTGGTCTAATACTAAATATTCAATCTTTAGCCTCTCAACAAACATACTGATTGCCCTTTACCTAAATCTTAATCAAGAAAACCCAGCAAGGGATGGAACCACCACTTACCTTGGTATTAAATTTAACAAAGACTTACGTAGAAACTCCATATCGAACAGTCTATTTGTGAGGCATGACAAGAACTGCCCTTATGAGGAAAATAGCCGGCTCTAACTGGGGTGCAGATATGACAACACTAAGGTCATATACTGGATACGTTAGGCCTTCCTTGGAGTATGGAATTACCAGCTGGGAGAACGCTGCAGCCTCGAACATCAAAAATAAGTTTCTGTCTTTATAATATATTTTATCATTACTTCTTCTTTTACATCTCAATAACAGAACTATTAGAGTGAGCCTTGGGTTTTAAATATAAATTTAATCTTTGTTTGTCACCTTCAAAGTCACATAATTAGATTTTCAGAAACCAAGAGTTATTCCTTTTTTGGTCTGGAGTTGTCGATACGATAAGGAAATTAGTTAAAGTAATAAATAGGGTATAAAATGAAGTGTTTATTATTATTATGTTTACTATGTTAATAATTAAATAATTTGTTTACGTTTAATTATTATGTATAACATTTATTCTTTGTTAGATACAAACAATTATATATAATGTTATTGCATAATATCATGTATACTTCTTTTTTGCAATTTAGATGAATTTATACAAATATCATCATTGATATTATTTGGATAACATGTTGGTCCTTAATTAGTAGCCGTTTCATCGATTATTACAGACAGCGTTATGTCTTTAACGTGACAATATTAAAATAAAATTCTGTTTTTGCATATATATATATATATATATATATATATATATATATATATATATATAATATATATATATATATATATATATATATATATATCGACATAAGATTGACACACACATATATATAGCGTTTATAGTATTTGAAATATTGAAAATATGCCAATATTCCGTTTCAATATTTCAGACATTTGAGGATACTGAGTTTCAGTCAACAAATAGCCAAGTATAGATTGGAAACTTTTCGAGACTGGACTGTTCTAATATTCATACTCAACATTAAAAATGCACATTTTAAAATAAAAATCAGAAAATTAACGTTAATATAATAAAAAAAAAATAGAAATAGAGTATTGAGATATTTTTACTAAATTAAGTTGAATTTAATACTTAATATTTGACTGTTGTATTATTAAGGAAGGAGATGATCCGGGTAGCGTTCATAAAAAGACCAAATAGTAGAAAAACTATTTAATTAAAAGCTAACCTTTCGACTCGATTTTTCAGGTCTTCTTCAGCGAAGTGTGTTCAGCAAGGATTTTCATTCTTCAAAATTCTTCTCAAAGGAGAGTTCTGAGTTTTGGAGTTCTAAGTGAAACTCTGCAAAACGTTGGCTTTTAACAAAATAGTTTTGCCACTATTTAGTCTTTTTATGACCGCCACTGCGGACCATCTCATTCCTTAAATTAATTTAAAGTAAATTCGAGACTAAATTGTTGATTGTTAATATTCACTTCATTGAACAACTAGATAAATGATGAATTAAGACTTATACAAAACTATTATTACTACATTAAGATTTTTGAATAAAACTGATTGAATATGTATAGAAATGGTGAGAGGTTAGAGAACAGTGAAGGGAGATTTATTTTGTTCTTCCAGACTTTCCATAGTCAGTAGGATTTGGTTAATTGATTGTTTACCTTACGTAATTAATGATTTATTAATGATGTGTATTCTTAGTATTGCTGTTTGTTAATATCAAATTTAAATATTATACGTTTACATATTGAATATTGGATTTCGCAGAAACAAAACAATATGATTTCCTTTTGATACCCATACAAAATCATTCTTAATTTACAAAAAAAAATAAAATTCATCTCCTCATAAACAACAGATGGATTGAAATCAACAGTAAAAAAAAAAAAAAAAACTATAAAATCCTTTATATATGAACATATCCTGAAAAAAATAGTTTAGGTACACACAATGAACAAAAATATAAGTTAATTTGTCGGTATATTTTTGTTAAAAATATGTATATTTATTTATAAATGTATAACAAGCGTACTTTTGAAGAAAGGACATTTTCTAATCTAAGGGCTTTTCAACGAGGTGATAGGGTCGAAATCACGTTCAACTTACGCAATAAAGTCTGGGTGTGTCTCAGGAGAGTCTTTCGAATACAGGGCCAAACCATGGCTTATGTGACAAAATAAATAATTATGCGCAACTACCGGACTCGAACACAAAAGCATTTATTAAAATGTATTTTTCTTTAAAGTGAACAGGATTTTTCTCTCAATCCTTGTCGAGACCAAAACCATTCCAGAACTGCTCATCGCTCTTTAATGGGGATCGCCTCCCCTTTAATCAAATTTATTGAATCCCTCCTTCTAGCTCCTTCCTCAAGCTCCAGCTAATCGTTTTGGAGCACTTAGTAAATTAATAGATTGATTCATGTCGGCATGTTTTTTACTTATTAGCAATGATTACTTGCTGAAAATAAACTTATAATGCATAAAATATGGCATTGTAAGGATAGGCGTAAATAAAACCGAAGCAATCCCTTAAAGTAAACCCGGGATTAGAAGTGATGTTAATTTAGTTAAGCAATATAGTAAAATAAAATATTATTATATTTTAATTTTTATTACCCGCGAAATCAAAAATAACCTTCTTAATTTTATGTTAGTGAGCGGGCTTGGACCATATTTGGTCTTGCTAAAAAA